GTGTGTTTATGCTCTTTTAGTATTAGAAATATGAAGATCTTCCAACAAAAAGGGAACTATCTCTATAATTTTTTGTCCCTTTCAATTGAACATGTTTTATTTATCTGTATTTTTGGTTGAACAGTATATTTAAGATCAAATGTTCACATGTTGCAATTTGGCTTTTGTTTCTTCGAAATAATTTTAAAAATTATTTTAAATATTTTATCAGTAGTTTAAAATAGACATAATTTAAAAAGTCAAAAAGGTAAAAAAAGAATTTATGACAATGTAGTGAATAGTTTTTGTCCCATTGCTCCCAACTTTATTTACTTCCTTCCCTAAAGGCAACCACTTTAAACTCCTTAAGCTGTTTCTTTCTGCAGTTATATATCTCCATATTTTAAAAAAACATACTTTTGATTCACCAATTTATTCATTACATAGTGAGTTTCTATTATGGTAGAGAAAGTTTTACCATTCTTAAATAACCATCTCTACTGCAGCTCCTCCCTTAGCTTCCTAATTTAGTTATATTACAATATTTGGTTAAATCAAATAGTTAATGTTTACATTATTATGCCTGTGCAAATTTTATTCACTGATAGTGTCTTAAATAGCCTCTAAGAACAGTTTTCAACAAGGTCAGTCTCAGTAATCTATCAGTCCCACCTTTCTTTTTGTTCTTTCTTTTTTTCTCTCCCCCTTCTCTCCTCCCCCTCTCCCTCTCCCCCCTCTCCCTCCCCCTTCTCCTCCCCCTCCTTCCTTCTTCCTTTCCTTTTTTTCATCTTCCTCTCTTTTCTTCTCTTCTCTTTTCTCTTCTCTTCTCTTCCCTTGTCTTGTCTTCTCTTCTTCTCTTCTAGAGATTTCCAGCATCCTACTTAAACAGTAAGCCTACTTGCTAGGCCTGCTACATAGCTCTTTTCTTAGGATGCTTTCTGTAAGGTTTTTTGGTGGTTGCGAAAAGACAAGACAGAGAGAGAAAGAGTGGGGGCCAAACCACATGGCTTTATTATACACTCCTGGACGAGGTTCTGGGGTCCCAAGAGAGTGGGGCCCCAGAAGTCGCCTGCGTTTGAAGGAGGTACGGCCTTTTATACTGTTTGGGCCAAGCTAGGGACTTTTGGTGGGAAGAGCTAGGGCAGCCTTTGGTGGTCATTGAGAAATAGGAGGGGCTGGTGGTATTTGTGGAATCCAGGAGCCAAAACTTTCTTATCCAGGTGATCCATCCAAAACTTTCACATCTGGGTGTGGTTCCTCTCAGTAGGGCCTGGCAGTTTGTCCTTGGTGGGTCTGGTCTTGTGAGCCTTTTCTTTTTTGATCTAGGGAAAGGAGGGGGCCTGCCACCATCCTTATACTTTCCCCTTGTTATCCTTAGACTTTTCTCTCTTGGGTTTGGTTTCCAGTATTATTAGAATTTGTCTCATCCTCATTCTTCATTTATCTCTTGCCTAGGTGGAACACATCCTCTAATAGTTGTGTTGGATTAAAAAGATAATACTGTGGCATAGAGCATGTGGATAACAATTTTCGACATGCCTGTTCTTTGTCACATACTTCAATCTGGATTTGTTGCCTTCTGCTTCTGGTGACATTTATCCTGGAATCCCATTCACCAGTATTCCTTCACTTCTCTCTTGTGTTGGATATCCTGTTATCCTGTCTTCTTTCCTTTGGTGTATTTCTTCTTTTGTTACCAAAGGATGATGAGACTATCACTGTCTGGAAATCTGATCAGGCACAATCTTCTGAACAAAGCAGATTGCTAATTTTATATTGTGTTTTAGGGGAGCACGAGGTTCAGGGATTAAAAGATTTTAGAGGCAGAAGTCAGTTAACATCATCTACAGAAAAAACATGGTTACTGGGGTGAGACTGTTGTTGATTGGTTGGCACTCACAGCTGTTTTATTGCAGTGACTCTGTCCCTGATTTGCAGCTGATTTTCAGAAGCAAGGCTAACTGATTAATTGGCTTGTAAAAGAGTGCCAAAGTGAGTTGTTCTTGTCAGTTGAGTGGGTTTAAAAGTGGTCATTGGCAACTTTTTACCATGGCTGTGAACAATGTCTTTTTCTTTAATTTTTATTTTTTTTAGACTAGTCAAATGCAGTAGTGAGGAGAGGGGGGAAAGTAGTAGAACAAGGAGTTCAATCTGTAACTGCCTGTGAACAATCAAGTGAGTTTTTCGCCTCATTTACATATGTATTTGTGCATATATGTTTAAATGGGACATACTATATATATTATCTTTTTGCTCCCCCCATTTTTTCTACCATACAAATGTGTATCTTGATCAAGAGAATTTTTTGCACAGAATTCTAGAAATTTTAATTAATGACATCTAACAACTGTCATTTATTTGATTGTAGATTATGTGCCAGGCACTGTGGTAACATCTTTTTTTTTATTCTGTTAATTTATATTGACATTATTTCAGAATACAGAAAAGTTCTAAGAATGGTATAAAGAATTCACACATATACCCCAAATATTAACATTATACATTTCCTTTCACTCTTGTTCTTTGTCTTTCAATATATAGATACATATTTCTTGTGAGAGTAAGATGTAGACCTTATTCTCCTTTATACTTAAATACTTCAGTGTACACTTTCTAAAAACCAGAACATTCTTTTATATAGCCACAATACAGTTGTCAAAATCAAGAAACTAAGATTGATTTAATATTGTTATCTAATCTACAAATTTGTTCAGGTTTTACCCATTGTCTCAGTGTACTTTATAGCAGCAGTCCCCAGCATTTTTAGCACCAGGGACTGGTTTCATGGAAGATAATTTTTCCATGGATGGGGATGGGGATAGGGATGGGGTGGGGTTGGGGAGTGGGGGAGTAGAGGCTTGGAGGGGGGAGGCGGAGCTCAAGTGGTGATACAGTGATGGGGAGCCAGGAAGCCAAAGCTTCCCTCACTTGTTCCCTCACTTCCCTCAGCCACTCATCTCCTGCTGTGCGTCCCCCTACCAAGTTTCATGGGAGACAGTTTTTCCACAGATGGGGTGGGGGACAGTGGCAGAGCTCTGTGGCCCAGTCCCTAACAGGTCATGGATGGGGACCACAGCTTTATAGCAAAAGAAAATTCCAGGTTATGAAGTGCATTCACTTGTCATATCTCTTTTACTTTCCTTTAGTCTGGAGCAGTTCCTTAGTCTGTGTTTTTTCATGACATTGACACAGGCCAGTTATTTTGTAGAATGCCTCTGGTTTGGTTTTATTTGATATTTTCTCATGATTGGATTCAGGTTATTCATTTTTGGCAGGAGTATTACAAGGAGTACCTTAGTTTTCAAGGCATCACAGGAGGCACAAGATTTTGAAATACCGATAATGTGATCTTTGATCACCTCATTATTACTGTTTTTCCTTTTATAATTGCTTTTTTGTGGTAAAATACACATAACACAATTTATTTTTATGTTTTAACTTTTTTTTTTTTTTTTTTTTTTTTAAGAGATAGGGGTCTGGCTTTGTTGCACAGGCTGGAGTGCAGTGGCACAATCACAGCTCATTGCAGCCTCAAATTCCTGGGCTAAAGCATTCTTTGTCTATCGGCTTCCCAAATAGCTGGGAATACAGGGGCATACCACCATGCCTGGCTAAGTTTTAAAATTTTTTGTAGAGACAGGGTCTCTATAGCTAAATTGCCCGGGCTGGTCTCAAATTCCTGTCCTTAAGTGATCCTCCTGCCTTGGCCTCCCAAAGTGCTGGGATTATAGACATGAGCCACTGTGCCCTGCCACCACCTTTATCATATATGAAATTTTCACTTGGTTTATTTATGGACTTTGTATTCTTGTACCATTATTACACTGTTTCAGTTAAAGAGGCTTGATAATATATCAAGGGCTATCTTTGAGTTTTCTTGACTTCTTGCATGTTTAGTTTTCTGTTGTTATCGGTTTGTCTGTCTCAATAAAAAAACTTGCTGGTATTGTTATTGGAATCATGTTAAATTTGTAAATTAATTTAGGGAGAATTCACTTCTTTATGATGTTGTGTTGTGTTGAGTTTTCTATTCAAGAACAAAGAATATCTTTTCATTTGCTCAAATCTATTTTTGTGTCTTTCAGGATATGTTTTACAATTTTCTCACATTGGTTTTATACACTCGTTAAATTCTCCAATTTTTTCAACTCATAACATGTCTTGTAGATCTTTATATCAGTATTTATGGAGATACATCATTCTTTTTAATGTTTGCATAGTTTTCTATAGTATGAATGTACCATAATTTATAACCTGGCTCATATAGGGACATCTAAGTTGTTTATGATTTTTCACTATTATAAACAGTTCCTTAATAAGTATCCTTCTAAAAGCCCAGTTATTTCCTTGTGATAAATTCTTCAAAGGAGAATTGTTTTGTTAAAGGTCTCTGATGTATAAAAGTTTTTGAAACATATTATTAAACTGTTTTCTGTATTAATAAAATGAATACCTCCACCAGCAGCATGTTCAAGCCCTAGTCTGTCGACATTCACCAAAATAGAACTTTATTGCTGTTTTTAAACCTTTGTCAGTTTGATAGGCAAAACAGAATATGTTTATTCTGCATTTCTTTGCTAACTGATGAGGTTTATTTTTTGTCCATCCATCCAGCTGGCCAGCCAGCCAACATATATTTAATGAGCATCCACCAAGTGCCATAAGCTGTCCTATGTGTTAGAAGTATAGTAATGACTAGAATTTGAACATCTTTTTGTGTTTTTGATTATTTATACTATTTTTTTCTTATCACTTTTTTTGTTGACAGTTAGTAGGTGTTTCTGTCCCCTTAGACAAGTCCTCAGAAGCCTGAGAATGACAGAAGATGACATTTCCTTATTGTTTGAGTTTCTAAAAAGTATTTTGTGTCTGTGATTTTATTATACATTCTATGGCAAATCACTGTGTTGAACTCTTACTATTTACAAAATGAGATAATGAAAGTTGAGTGCCTTGACAGATGTCAAAGAAATAACTATATATTTTTTATAAAAATGACTTTTATCGTTATTATTTTCTAGGTGAGGTTGCTGTCAGAAGGGAACTTTGTACAGTTTGCCTTCGACATAATCTATCTGCATGTTGTAGCATTTTATTCAAAAAATAAATGTCATTGATGTGGTAAGTTGCCCATACTTATGCCTATTTTATAGAAATATTGTTTTTTTACAGTAAATATTTGTTTGCTTATATCTTGATACTTCAGTGTCACTTTATTTTGTAATTCTCATGTTAAACAAATTTGAAAGGGGCAATTTCCTGAAAGAAAATTAGAGTCTTTTGAAGAGTTTTTATTTCTATTCACTGTCTTAATTTTGGTGTGTGTTATGGAAAGGACAGTAGGGGCTGGTTAAATATTGAGATTAGTTTTCAAAGTTAGATTGCTAGCTTTGTTCTGTTCAGTCACTTTCCACTGTAACAACTGAGAGCTAACCTTCTTGTCAACCTCTGGCTTCCCTGTAAATCATATAGGAGTAGCAAAGATGCAGTGTTATTGAAGGGGTTTGATTAACTGATTTTGGAAGAATAGGTCTCATCTAAATCATCCGTAAAGTAAAAGCAGAATTAATACTGTTATTAAAGAACTTGGAAATGAAAAATAATTAAATGATTTTAATTTTTTAAATATTACTCTATAGGTATTTGTCAATTAAAATTTTTTTTTTCAAAGAAGACTTAGTAAGTTGATATGACCTGCTATTTTATGAGAAATTTTCTTACCCATGTTCTCTGATGTTATTTTTAGTATAGTCCAGCTTCTGACTCTCATGTGTAGCCAGTGGCAAATGGGAAGCTGATGTGCAGGGTGAAGGCTTTAGTGGTAACCAGGGGGTTGGTTGCAGCAACTGAACATAATTGTACTCTTGTGAAGCACATGGCAAAAATTGCATGGAAACTATGACATGATACTGGTGATTTGCAGAATTTTCTTTTAAATGGTTTCACAGAGCTAAACGTAGTGAGAAATAAATGTTGATGTTGAGAGCTGACTTTAAACAAAATGTTCCTAAATAGGATCCAAGGATGAGGAGCCATAGGCACAGAAAAAGGAGGAGATAAGATTCTCCTTTGATATATTTTTGGTAGTCTTTTTGCTTTTGTTTGCATCAGAAAGCTGTTTTTAGATGTTTCTAGGTGTTTTGCATGGCTCATATGACTAGAGAGGCATGGGATTTCACAGCGCCTGACTGAATAGGCCTAGATCTCAGAGCAAATCAAAGTGAGTTTTAATCTTGGTTATTTAAAATCTCCTTGTACCTGTCTTATTAGGAGTATTATTTTTTTTTTAAGAAGAAACTAATTTGCAGCTGGCTATAAAGAGTGACATTGTGTCCTGGAAAATGCTGTGCTAACACACTGTGCTGTCCCACAAGAGTACTTCCAAGTCCCCAAACGCAGTGCTGACAATCTGTGACAGCCTGTGAATTGTTGGGCAGCAGTTGGAAAAGATGGACAGCAGAGTGAGGTGGTTGTATGTAAGTTGTAGATGAGATGGGGAGGGGAAGAAATGAGAGAAGAGCAGAGCAGCTCTTAGTTTTTGTGGGTAGTTTGAATGGAAGCTTTTCTAGTTGTTAGACTGCTAATATGACTGAAATAAACAGAGTAGAGTGTAGGGCAGGGGTCCTCAAACTTTTTAAACAGGGGGCCAGTTCACTGTCCCTCAGACCGTTGGAGGGCTGGACTATAGTTTTAAAAAAACTATGAACAAATTCCTATGCACACTGCACATATCTTATTTGGAAGTAAAAATACAAATGGGCAAAACCATGCGCGTGTGGCCCGAGGGCCGTAGTTTGAGAACGCTCGGTGTAGGGGGTTTTGGTGGGGTGGAATGTGTATTTCACTTTTCCTTTCAAGGTGTTATTGTTTCATTCTGTCATCAACACTGTAAGGTTAGATGTTATGTTGATGAAAGTATGGATTGGGTGGAATTAAAAATTTTGAAGAGACTGGAAGTACCACTTCATGACAGGACATGAAACTGTAAAGGTTAGGGTAATGGGGATTGGGCTTATCCTTTCCAGGAATTGTTGCAGTGGTAATAAGGCCATTACCATATGTAGATCCAAAATGGCTTGGCCGTTATCTCAGACAAATGTATATCTGGTCATTTGTTTGTTTCATTTGATACACATACACATACCACCTACCAACTGGTATTGTTTCAGAAATAACATGACCAAATATAATGATCTTTGTCAGACATCAAGGCAGGAATTTCTGGGTGTTATTGGGATTGTGGAGTAGAATTTAATGTGTGGCAAGTTAGAGTTCAGTTCTTTCCATGAGTATGAGAATGGTTATACAAAGTAAATGTATTTGATATGTATATAATGTCTAATTCTGAGTATAGGATTAGACTTGGAACATGTTGTTTTGGAGCCCAGTCCTCCTGCTGATTCTGTTTCTGGTTTTAGGTTAAATATATTACTGTTTGTTCATTGATACTATTGGATTAAATAAGCATATGAGAGGTATCAGTTTTAAGATTGCTGTCTTATCTCCTACAACATTGATACATATTTAAATCGAGATACATTTAGTTAAAATTTCATATTTTCTCTATGTATGGTGACTTTTGGGACACTCTGGAGTATTCTAAGGAATTGTCTGTAGGGTCAAGACTTGATTCTCCACTCTCTAGGGTATTAAATGCTTAAACCTAGTACAGTCTTTCTGGTGGAATCTTCCACAGCTTTCCTGCAAGAAACCTCTGGTTCTAGCTAGACTAGTGTCATAGTCTGAATGTTTGTGTTCTCTGTAAATTCATATGTTGAAATCTAATCCCCAATGTAATGGTATTTGGAAGTGGAGCTTTTGGGAGGTAATTTGGTTCTGAGGGTGGAGCTCTCATGAATGGCATTGGTGTCCTTGTAAGAAAGTGGCCAGAGAGCCAGCTTGATCTCTTTCCTCCATGTGAGGATATACTGAGATGTCAGCTTAACTGCATCCTGGAAGAAGGCCCTCACCAGAATTCAGCTATTCTGGCACCCCGATCTTAAACTTTCAGCTGTCTGAGCTATGAGTAAATTCTGTTGTTTATAAGCCACCCAATCTATGGTACTTTGTTATAGCAGCCCAAACTGACTAAGACAGCTAGTTTTTATAACTATCAATATAACATCTTCTGACTTTTTGCCTCTTCATATATTTAGTCTTTTCCTTCCACTTGGAATGTCTTCCCTCAATTTTTTGTATGAATATCTGCTTCTGAAGGCCTAGCTCCAGTTTCACGCACTTTATGACATTTTGCTTAACCATTCCAGGCCCTTAGTGATAACTCTCTCCTTTGGGTTTCTGTCATTTACTAGTTTTTTCTTTATTTGGCAATTATAGCATTACTCCCTTAAAATAACTTAAAACAAAATCTTTCCAAATAGGTACAGACATTTTAAGGGGAAAGCTACATTTTTATTCATGTGTTTCAAACCATGTTGTTGTAGTCCTACTTTATAATCTCCACCACCCCAGCAGAGATCTTAGTACAGTATGTGCACTTGACACATATTTGTTTGGTAAGAAAATGCCATTACCTATTGTTATCTTAAACCAATCTTTAACATTTATCTTTCTTTTGTATCATAAGGGTAATAGATTAATGCAGTTTAAATACCTGAGCCATGTTCATTCAGTAGATTATTCTTCCTTAGAAGCCTTCTGTAGCCCTCTATATAGGCTTTCTTATCCTTAAAGTAACATTGCTTTGAAGATGTTATTGTATTCTAAAATAATTCTTATTCTTGAAACTCTAATTATTAAACTTTGAAACTGCATAGAAGATAAACTCTTAAATTTATTAACTTGCTAATTCTTTCTTTGCTTGCTTTGAAGTGAATCTTGCTTCTTTTGGTTTCTCAGTTTCTCAACAGGCACATTTGGCTTTCACATTTGCTGGCATAGCTACAAGGAGAGGATATAGATATAGAGCTGTAACTGTATCTCTAATATACAGATTCTACCTCATTTACAATTACTCCTTTTTTTTGCTATTGGTGCACTTTGGTGTTTTAAAAATGAAACTATTCTCTGCTATGCTTTGTTTTACCCCATCACAAATGTTAGAAGTTATGTGTTGTAGTGTGGTAGTGTAGTAGTTAAATACAGGGACTTTGAAATCCTTGTGAACACTTGGAAGCTATGTGATCATAAGTAACTTAAGTTTCAGATTTCTCATCTGTAAAGTTGAGAAAATAATAGCTACCTCTTAGTATTGTAGTTGGAATCAAATGAGATTATATATATATAAGACATTTAATGCAGATTAAGTCTAGTGGCCTCTGTTTTCAAAATTTACTCAGTGGTTTATTAGCTGTACTCTGAATACTAGAGGAAAATGAAATCAAGTTTAATGCATGTTAGGGTTGAGGTACAGCCCTCAAAGCCTTATCCATTTGAGCTCCTTTGTTGTCAGTGATAGTGTATCAGTTTAAACCAGAATAGACCCAGGAGAGGAACTAATTTCAAATAACTGTAGAAACAGACCAACTTCTAGATGTATGGTGAGAGAAAGACGTTTAGGAGAGTGTTTCTTTTCTTCTCTCCCTGCCCCTACTACCAGTAATATATGCAAGGAAGGAAGCAAACTTTTCTCTCTATCATATTATATTGCTGTTGTTCAATTATATTTAAGCTTTGATATTCTGTCTTTTGAGATGCTCACTAATGGCTGCTGACATTAAACTTGGAGCAGTTAAGTTGGTGAGCCACAGGGTTACCATGTCAGTCGAGTGTGAAAGAGACTAAGCTGCGGACTGTTTCCCAGCCTGTAAAGCGTGAAATCAGTTGGTGCTGATGCATGGCGATTATAGCCAGTGGAGTGTAAAATAAGTTGGGGGCATGAATTATATTATGTTGTAAGAAAAACCTTTTCATGCCATAATTTGTTTACATATTTTGGAACCCCTAAGATCCTACTGGAATCTTGTGTCTTGTATCTTTCATTGCCTTGTTACTCAGTTTTTTTCATGAAATGTTTCTTCAGTTGTGTAAGCTGTATTCTTTGTGCAACTGCATGCAGAGAGGCAAAGACTATAAATGTCCAAGGCAGACTAATATTAAAATATTGTAACTATTCTGTTTAAGATTGCATCTGAAAAAAAATCATCTGCAGTTGGTATTTG